GGTCATTCTCCCTCAGAAAGTAAGGAGACAGCTAACTTGGTGGTTGGTGCCCGGGAGGTTTTTTGGAAGGGGTTCCACTCAGGGATCCAGCCAGGTTGCTGATCACAACAGATGCCAGCCTATTTGGCTGGGGAGCCCATATGGACGGTCGGATGGCCCAGGGTACCTGGGAACAGTCGGAGAGGTCCAGCAGTATAAATCTGCTGGAGTTGAGAGCGATCAGGCTAGCCCTTCTGGCTTTTCAACAGGAGATTATAGATTGTCATGTTCTCATACAGACTGACAATGTAACTGCAAAAGCTTATGTAAATTGACAAGGGGGATCTCGATTCAGACGTCTCCACAAAGAAGCGAGCTTACTGATGGTGTGGGCGGAGTCTCACATTCAGTCGATAAAGGCAATTCATCTGGCAGGTTTCGAGAATACGATAGCAGACTGGTTGAGTCGACAGTGGGTCGACCAGTTGGAGTGGATGTTGAACAGGACTGTGTTCACTCAAATAGGCCGCAAGTTCGGATTCGCAAACGTGGATCTGTTTGCTACCGAGAGAAATCGCCAGGCAAGGTTTATGTCCAAGAGATATCATCCATTAGCTCTGGGAACAGACGCCCTACATCAGGTTTGGCCAAGGACTCTACTATATGCGTTTCCTCCTCTGCAAGTCCTGCAAAGACTAGTACAAAGAGTCATAGACTTAAAAGCAGAACTCATACTGGTGGCCCCATATTGGCCAAGAAGAGCATGGTTCCAAGAACTGATCAGACTCTCTGTAGCAGAACCATGGCGTCTTCCTCTGATTCCAGACTTACTGACTCAGGGGGAGATTGTGCAAATCAGTCATTTTTGGTTCAATTTAGGCTTCCAGTCCCCAGGTGAGGGCAGGGATCCCCCGCTTTTGTAGGTTTCTGCCTGCCGCCAGCCAGCTAGCCAGCAAGGTAAACCCTGCCCCAAACTGACATCCCTGTGTGACGTCAGAGGCATTGTACTTTTTGGGCAAAACTCTAAGGTTGTCCCGGCCTGTCCAGGACTCCTGATGGGAAGAAAGGGAGGTGGAGGCCTGGGGCCCCCACCCCACACTTACCAGAGGCAGTGGTGTCAGTGGTGACAGGGCAGCGGCTGAAGGACCAGCGAAGAAGGCACCTGGTGGAGAGGTGGGCCTGAGCCCGCAGCAACGGGGAGGAACGCCCAAGCTGTGGCCAATCAGCGGAGGAGGACGAGAGCAGGCCCACACCCAGGGGCGCCAGTGGCCGTGGGGGTCCGGGCGAAGTTCAGAAACAGGCCCAGGTGGCTCAGGGTCGCAGCCGGCCAGAGGGCAAGGGAAAAGAGTGCTGGAAGACCCCAGCACGAGTCTGGCAGCACACCCAGCGGGCGCACAAGGCAGGGAGAGGGAAGTCTTCCCCTTTGAGCCAGAGGAGGCCAATGAGGAGGCAGGTGCGTGCAAGAAGAAGAAGAGAGAGCGAGGGCAAATAAAGTGCATGAGACCCGAGGGCCCGGGAGGTGGAGTAACCGTCCCTGAGCTGAGGCCCCCATTCCGGACCCTTTGCGGACCCTTGGTCTCCCGAGCTCCCCCCTGATGACTGGAGGACCCACTGGACAGGCCTACCCACTCCCCCAGGTCACCAAAGGAAGGTAGAGCAGCAGCTACACCACGGCCATAGGCGGACAGCCCATGCTGCCCCTGGAGGGACGTGACAGTGGTTTGTAGCCATTTTTACCATAGAGTTTTGCCCAAAAAGTAGAGCATTACCCTGACATGGCCGACATTCCAGAAGTGATGTCATCACATTGCTGATGTCCTTGCCCACCCTCAGAACACCTACCAAATCCCCCTGCCAGCATGAGGTAGGCACCTGGCAACTCTAGTTTGAATCCCCACTCTGTCCTGGAAGTTTGCTGGGTGACCTGGGGCCAGTCACATCGTATTGGCCTAACATACCTCCGGGTTGTTGCTGTGAGGATAAACTGGAGGACAGGTGAACAATGTGAGCTGCTTCCCCCCCCCCCCTGATAATCTCTGCTCTAGCAGGAAGGCCCTCTAGGGGACCTTATATGAAAAATCTAATTTCTACACCTGGGATAGCATGTGCCATTGCTTTAGTTGCAGTAAAGATAGAAATAGTTTCCATTTCTTTGGCGTTTATCTTTTGAGTTATCTCTAGAGGGGATATAATGAGAGATGCATTTTCTTCAGGGACTCTGGTGTCCTTCGGATCATTGTTTTCAGAGAAGTCAATTATTTTGTCTGGGGGAAAGTGCATATTTTTTGTCAGTGAAAGCCTTGCTTTAGATATTACATCTTCATTTATTTTGCTAGTCTGAGTCAGGTTAGGCAGTCTGTTTTGTGGTCTGTACTAGAAATACAATCACAGATAACAAGTATGTTTTGGACATATAAAATTAATGCAATTTGCATACTTGGTATAATTTGCTTAACCAGCATGTGGTTGTGGTTAGAGTGTTGAGACTAGAGCTAGGGAGGGCTGGGTTCAAATCCCCACAGCCAGGAAGCACACTGAATGCCCTTGGGGTTTGTCCCTCTTTCAACCTAATCTACCTTAACATATGTGAGGATGAAAGATGGGGTCAGGAATCATGTAGTCCTTCCTTAGAGGAAGGGTGGCATCAAAATAAATAAATCCCTTTTTCAGGAATATATTAAATTAAAACTGGCAGACTAATAACAACAGCCTTCAAATGTAGCTTGAAAATCTTTAGCTACAGTTTAAAATCATGAGCTCTAGAAAGTATCATAAATGTGGGTTGGGAACTTTGTTAATTTCAGATTGCTCTGTATCTTTTTGCCATCACATTTTCAGATGTATATCTGAAACTATGAGGAGCGGGAATGTCAATATTGCTATTCAGTAAGGAATTTTTTGTTAGTCAGGGAAATCTCTGGGTGTGATTGGCTGGCTTGATGCAATGGCATAGAATGTTCCACTGGACTGAACTTGCCGGCAATACATTTTTCACATAAACATACCAGCTTTTGTAGGGGAAATGAAAGGTCAGTCTGGCTGAAAAAACCCCAAGTAGGTCAAATGGTGTGAACAGGAACTAGAAATATGTGTGAAGAGATCCCAAGAAATTGGGAAGCTGAGAGGCAGCATGGCTTCAGGAAAGGGGCCCAGGAAGTAGTGGAATGAGACTGAGGAAATCTGAGGGGGGAAAGGACAGAGGAATTAGAGCAGACAGAGACCTAACAGAAGAGGATACTCTGCGAGGTCCCCTCATCAATCTGGCAGGGGGATTTGGGGGGTGTTCCAGGGTGGGCGGGGATGCCTCCAAGCCCTGCCCCTGAGCCACGGCCACCCCTCCCCCCCTGCTAAAAGATTTAAATGGCTTCAGCTGATCAGCAGGGAGCATGTGGCCTGTCGACCAACTGGAGGGCCCTTTAAATCTTTTAACAGGGAGGGAGAGGGGCTATCGCTGGCCATAGCTCCGCTGGCAAAAAGTCCCTTTAAAGGGTCTTTTTGCCTGTGGGGTGGGGGCCACAGCACACGGGGCATTCATTTTTCAGCAGCAATTCACCTCATGGGATTCAGGTCTGTGCTGCCACCCTGCTCTCTGCAACCCTTTAAAGGGTCTTTTTGCCAGCAGAGCTGTGACCAGTGGCAGCCCCTCTCCCTCCCTGCTAAAAGATTTAAAGAAGAAGAAGAGATTGGATTTATACCCCACCCTTCACTACCCAAAGGTGTCTCAGAGCAGCTTACAAACCCCTTTCCCTTCCCCTCCCCACAACAGACACCCTGTGAGGTAGGTGGGGCTGAGAGAGCTCTGGACAGAAACTGCTCTTTTTCAAGAACAGCTCTTATCAGAACTATGGCTTGCCCAAGGTCATCCAGCCAGGTGCAAGTGGAAGAGAGGGGAATCAAACCCGGTTCTCCCAGATTAGAGTCCGCGCACTTAACCACTACACCAAACTGGCCCTCCAGCTGCTCGGTGGGCCATGTGCTCCCCGCTAATCAGCTGAAGCCCTTTAAATTGTTTAGCAGGGAGGGAGACAGGTGGCCACGGGTGGCTGTGGCTTGGGAGTGGGGCTTGGGGCAGAGCTTCCTCTGCCAGCCAACTGGCCAGGGTGGATTAGAGCCCCCAGGAGCGGGGGAAACCCCACTCGGACTTGGGGGCTGGTAACCCTAACTTCTCAACACCTAAGGATTGGAGAGGCTGAATGCTGTTGGTATGAAACTGAGAAGGAAAGAGAAAGAACAGGGAAAGCTAAACAATTGGTGCATTCAGATGGCCTGCCAGGAGCAGTTTAAACTGCTCCGGTTCCAACTGGACTAATTTGGTCCGGAAGAAATGCGATCACACTCACATCCTTTGCCACGCAGCACATTATGATATGCACGTTCACACTACCGACGCGCAGCAGTACGCGTCGGCAGTTTTTAAAAAAACAATTCGCAGTTTGCACATGCGCATGGCCACTCAGCCGTAGAATGTGAAAAAACTACCTTTGCGCATGCGTAGTCACTTGGGCAAATCACAGCTTTGGCACGATGCTTCCGTAGAGCTCTGGGATTTAACTCACATACCTGTATCAATCCACTGGAGCTGTCCACTCCTGTTATATATCTTCCCCACTCATAGCTGACACTGGCACTGAGGGAGCAATATGAACCTTCAGGAGCAGCATTTGGTGGCACTTCTGACTGCACAGATCTTTCTCTCAGTGGCCTGTCACCTGCTCCGCAGGCTGAGAGCCATTAGAGTCAGGAGGCTGATTGCTATCAGACGGCACCTCATGCACAGAAGAGCCAGAGTGAGGGACTGTGTCCTGACAGAGTCCCTCAACAGGGCATGTCTCCAAACACTGGCTGAGCAGGAGGCCCCACATAGGTGGTGGGTGTATCCTTGGTCAGTGAAATTCTGGAATGTCTATGTCCGGGTCATATGGGAGGATGAACTGTGGCTAGAGCACTTCAGAATGACCAGGGCCACCTTCACGTGGCTGGTGGACTCTCTGAGGCCACATCTGCAATGGGAGGTGACCATTATGAGGGACCCCATTCCAGTCAAGGAGCGTTTGGCCATCGCCATATCTTGGCTGGGCAACACCACCTGCTATCGGGTGGTTGGCGGCCTATTCGAAGTGGCACGCTCAGCTGTGGCCGGAATAGTAATGGAGGTCTGCCTGGCCATCGAGGCACATTTGTTGAGATGCATTGTCTGTCTGCGATCAGCAGGACGGGTAAGTACCTCCCCTGTAAAGCAAAAGCACTAGAGAAATGGGAGATGGAATAGCCAGTTAGCTGAAAAACTGGGGCCCAAGGAATTAGTTAAGTCTGACCGAAGGACTAGAATAACAGCCAATATCTGAATCTCACTTCGTTTCCTATGAATGTTTATTTTAAGGGAAGGAAAATAAAACCTTTTTAAAGAAAACAATAAATGGATATTATTGCTACTTCATGCAAACTCTTCATGTTCATTGGTGGGTATTGACATTTTATGCCCATAAGCTTTTTCCATACATTAGGCTAGGATCACTACCAACAAGGGGAGCAAAGAAACAAACTGAGAAACAAACAAAAGAAACAAACAAAGAAACTGAAATCTATTGCAATGTCTCCAAAGTCATTCCTTTCTCCCTTCTCTCTGTCTCATAGGCATTCAGTGTTGTCTTCCAGAAAGCTGTTGAAAGAGCTGCCACGAATGAAAACCTCAAAGAACGAGTAGCCAACCTTATTGACAGCATTACCTTCTCTGTGTTCCAGTATACAACCCGAGGGCTGTTTGAATGTGACAAACTGACTTACACAGCACAGGTCACTTTCCAGGTAAAGTAACTGACCACATAGTAGAATCCTCGGTAGCTCTTGTGCTCATCACACACAGGAAAGGGAAGTCTCACTTTATGAGTGACTGCAGAAATGATGTGCAATCACTGAGAACTTTATTAGATAGCATTTTATTTATTTGAGTATTTATATTTTTTATTTATGATATTTCTATGCTGTATCTTCAGAGCTGCTCAAAGCGGCTTATAATGAAAAAGAAGATGGTATAAAAATGAGCCATTACAGACAACCCATTAAAAGCAAGCCACTGGACATAATCAGAATAAAAACAGTCATACAACAGAGGCAGACTATTAAAAACAGGGCTATTTTTGGGCAGGAACGCACAGGAACAGAGTTCCAGCTAGCTCCCAAGTTGGCCACGCCCAACAGGAACTCATTAGCATAATAGGCCACACCCAACAGCAGAAACTCATTAGGATTGGCTACATTAGGGGTGTGTGGCCTAACATGCAAAGGAGTTCCTGCTACAAAAAAAGGCCCTGGGTTTTGACAGCAAACAAGGTAAACAGAATAACAAGCAAAAGGTGGGTGTGGCTGGATGACCACACTTCTGGTAACATGTGGGGGTGGCCTAATGAGCTGTGCTGTCAGGGGTGTGGCCCAATATGCTAATGAGTTCCTGCTGTTGGGTGTGGCCTATTATGCTAATGAGTTCCTGCTGGGCTTTTTCTACAAAAAGAGCCCTGAAAAAGGTGATAGGATAACCACCCCTAATACATTAATACCCCTAATGTTTTGGCTTGATGCCTAAAAGAAAGTAAAGTAGGAACCCTCAAGGGGAGGGTGTTCCAAAAGCAAAAAATGCTGTGTTGCTAGTCACCACCACTCACCTCGCCTTGAAGGTGTAGGCAAAGAGAGCAGGACTTGAAAGGCAGATCTTAACTGGTGGGCTGGATAGTACGAGAGGAGAAGACCCTTCAGGTACCCTGGCCCCAAGCTCTTTAGGGCAGAGGTGTTGAACTGACATAAGTGTTGAACTGTCTTAAATGTCACTTTGTCAAGCAGGGCCATGTGTGCCATAAAATGTAGCACAAGGTAAATTTATAAAGATGATTTCAGATGCCGAATGGCAATAGCAGGCAGTAGCAGGCATGATTGGATTAGGCGTGATATGCAGAGGGGAAGTAGGTGTGGAGATATCAGCATTGGTAATGAGACAGGAAACCTAGGTCTCAGTTTGATACAGGAGGATTCAGTCCAGGAGGATGCAAAGAATAAATGGAAATAAGTCCAATTAGAAGTGAGCAGTGATTCACAAAAGCACATACCCTACCACAATTTTGTTAGTCTTTAAAGGTGCAAATTGAATCATATAATCTTAGAGTTGGAAGGGACCTTGCAGGTCATCTAGTCCAACCCCCTGCACTCTGCAGGAGCATAGCCGAAAGATAGCCCTACAACATATCCGAAAGATGGTCGTCTAGCTACTGGACTCTTACTCTTTCTACTTCTATTGTTACTGGACTCTTGCTCTTTCTACTGCTATTAGAAACCACAGCATTCAAAAACTAGTGTGGGACATTTTAACCTTCCAGGGCATTCAGTTGCTGACCTAAGAGTAGCAGTTCTCTTACAAAGGAATTTCAAAGGGAGATTAGAAGTAGAGACTGCTGAATTGCAACTGATTACGAAGCTCAAGACACTGCAAACTCCTGGACTGAATTGAGACCTAGGTTTCTTCTCTCATTACCAATGCTTGCTGTTGTCATTTGGCATCTGAAATCACTTCACTCTCCAAGCTATATGGACAGATGGACTCACATTCCAGCTGTATCTGAAGAAGTGAGCAGTCACTCATGAAAGGTTTTAAGTTGAAAAACTCCCGATCTTTTAGCCTACCTTGGTGCTGAACCACCCACCCACTCTGAAGAAGAAGCGTGCTTGCCCACAAAAGCTTATACCTGGAATAAAACGTTTTTGGTCTTTAACATAGGACTCTCTCTCTCTCTCTTTTCCTGGTGTGCTCTCTCTGGTTCTTTCCCTTCCCTTCCCCCCTCTCTCTGAAGAAGAAGTTTTTACCTGGAATAAAACGTTGCTGGTCTTCTTAAAAGTGCCACAAGACACCATTTTCCCCCTCTCTTATTTATTTTTAAAAACTCAAACAGAATAGGATATTTAGTTCCCAATGGTTCACTAATTATATGTTTAGCGTAATTGTGTGGTTAGAGAACAAGTCATGGATAAAAATAATTTACTCAGGAGTTGCCAACAACCTGGAGAAAAGAAAATGTTTTGTCCCCTTAACAGAGGCTCAATGGGGTGTTCTTTACCAGGTGATATTGTTCACCTCCATACCACGAAAAGCTTCACCTGCCCAGTTCGACACATTAAGCCTTTATTAAAGGGAGAGGACATTATGTTCTCCTGGTAGCTGGCAACCCACATTTTTCACAAAACCATCACAAACAGGCAATGGGAAAAATAAGAAGTGGCATGAAGGGGGGAAAGTGCCCAAATGTAAGTAGCTGCATTTTCACTGGGTTTTAAAAGGCACGATGGGGCCCATGAACCTGGAATATAAGGTATGGTCTGAGGGTGGCAGCCACAACAGCTGCAGAATGGAACTGCCACCAGAAGCTCCCCCTGTGCACATTCTACTGCTCTGCAGCTCCCATTCATTTTAATGGAGCATGCTCAGAAATTCCCAGTGGATTTTCAAAAAAAGTTCTTGACAAAGGCTATTTTCTGGTTTCTTTGGATTCCAGGATTGATTTAGCAGTGACATTCCAATGACAAAAGCATGTTTCAAAGGCCAAACCACGTGTGATTTGGGAGAGCCAGTACTGGATCTGTCAATGTTTCCTTTTTAAATATCATAGATTGACATTTCTGAAACCTTCCAGACTCTGCATTGCCATCCTTTAATGGGCAGGGAAACGGGAAAGCACCATTTGGAAGAGTTTATTTATTTGGGTTTTTGGCTGCTGCTGTGACATACGATGTTTATTATATTTACAGTTGTCCACAAAGTTCAACCACAGGTACACAAGGTTAAACTTGTGCAGAAATTATATTTCCCACAGCACCAAGATGCAATGCACAGAAGTTATAACTTTTCTTCATACAAGGTGATGCAGTGGATCTCTTTTTCTCTAGATTTTCCACCAATTCCAATGTTACTTCTTCATTAACAGCTATTCCACTGCAGTCTGAAATTATTTAATTTGTGATCTTCCAGTTCTAATCAAACAGATTATATTGAGGATAAGAAACCTATTGATATTTTATATAAGAATTTTTTTCAGGTTTTCTTAAACTTTATCTGTTTATCCAATGCCAAGAGTGTGATCAGAGCACCCGCATTGGAGATAGTGGGGTTTAACTCTTTCCTGGGTGCTGTTTCCTACTCTCAGTCTCTGATTCAGGTTGCTCAGCCAGGGGAGCCAAAGGCACTCTTAACATGCTCAGAGTCAGCCTGCCTTGCAGTCCTAAACTGAGTGACAATCTTTCTAACTCCACTGAAGTCAGTGGGCTTAGAAGGGTGTTACTGTGTGTAGGACTGCACTCTCTGTTAGGGCTTAAAAACAGTCTAGAGCTGAAGAACATTCTGCAAGACTATGTCAAGTCTCACATCCAGCTCTTTTTACCAGGTGCAGAGAACAAGTAGCTCCAAGACTCCCCCAGATTTCCTCCCACTCCCAAGTGACTCATCACCTCCATCTCGAGTGGGCGCCGAGGGAATGGGGCTTACACTTCACGGGCAGGGCCCGCAGGGAACGCTACCCCGGCGTCCAGCTCTTCACAAGGGTCAGCGCAACTTGCCACCAGGGAGGCCTGCTGCGGTGGGCCGTTGCATGGGCAGGTCCTGCTCCCCTTCCCCTTGGAGCCACCCCTCTCTCTTACCTAGCATTGCCACAGCAGCCTGGCTGCAGAGTGCCATCCCCACCAGGGCCCGGGTTCCTATCGCGGCAGTCCTGGGCATTTCACAGAAGCCCAGCTTTGCAGGAGGGGGCCCGGGCAGTGGAGGCCGGTAGGTGGGGCTGCCTCTGCATTGTGAGCCTCCCCACCACCACCCCAAGCCCTGGCCGGGAGCAACCCTGCTCAGCTTCGGAGAGCCGTCTAGCTTGGGCTCTGCTGGCCCATCCAGGGCAAGGCAGGGCAGGGCAGGGCTCGGCTGGCTTTGCTAGAAGACTGAGGGGCCACGCGTGAGGTGCTGCTGCCCCTGCAAGAGAGGAAGCCTCTGGCCAGCCCTGCAGGGGGAGCCAGCATCCCCCTGTCTGCCCTGCCAGCTGCTCAGCCGGGGAGGTGGGGTTGGTGCAGGCAGCCCTGGCAGGGCGCCGAGTCTCTCACCTCTGCCCAAAGGGCCGCCTGGCACCACGTCCAGTCTGGGGAGTGCTCAGCCAGCTGGCTCAACCCCTGAGGGCAGCCCCACCGGGAAATTCCTCCCTCCCAGTCCCTCCGTGCTGGGAAGCCTGGTGTGGCGCAACCAGCCGGTGAACAGGCAAAGCCGCCAGTGCCAGGCACTTGGGTGCTTCTTCCTCCTTGGCAGCGCAGCGTGGGAGTCCGACCGGCTTTCGGGTTTTTTAGTGAATTGCCAGTGATGGGGTGTGTGTGGAAGGAGAATGGTAGTTTTGATGTGTTCGAGGCGAGCCTGCCCCTTGTAGAATGGATAGATTTTGGCCCTGAACACAGAGAATGGGTTAAAGCCAGGCTCTTCGCTTGGTCCGCCTCTTCCACTCTCACTTCCCTGACAAGCCGGGGGGGAGGCCTTGGGGGGGCAGGATGTTGGCTCTGCAGCTGTTTCTCGCTTCTGCCTCTCTTATCTAGTTGTTGGCCTTGAGCGCTCATCACTCCTGCGTGAAGCCTCTGCTGTCTCCCGCTCACCTCTGAACCGTTAACCAGTTCCCCACGCTCCACATTAATTGCTTATTGGCTCCTAGGTGTCAGGGGGTGTTGTATGAACCCACTATAATTTCTATAGCCATTTTGTATGCCTCATTCCTCAAAAGAGTCTAAGATGACTTCACCTTCCTCTGATCAATAAAGCTGAATCTGTTAAGGACCTGCTGTTGATACTAAGTTATTGAAGTACCTGACAAACTAGAATGGTTGGAACACTTTCCCTATGAAGAAAGATTAAAGCTCTTGGGGCCCTTTAGCTTGGAGAAACGATGACTGAGGGATGACATGATAGAGGTTTACAAGATTATGCATGGGATAAAGCAGGTAGAGAAAGAAGTATTTTTCTCCCTTTCTCACAATACAAGAACTCGTGAGCACTCAATGAAATTGCTGAGCAGTCGGGTTAGAACAGATAAAAGGAAGTACTTCTTCACCCAAAGAGTGATTAACACATGGAATTCACTGCCACAGGAGGTGGTGGCGGCTACAGGCATGGACAGCTTCAAGAGGGAATTGAAATAAACATATGGAACAGAGGTCCATCAGTGGCTATTAGCCACAATGTATAGATAGGAACTCTTGGCCTGGGGCAAGTGATGCTCTGTATTCTTGGTGCTGGGGAGGTGCAACAGTGGGAGGGCTTCTAGTGTCGTGGCCCCACTGATGGACCTCCTGATGGCACCTGGTATTTTTGGCCAATGTGTGACAGAGTGTTGGACTGGATGGGCCATTGGCCTGGTCCAACATTGGTTTCTCCTATGTTCTTATGACAGTAGCTTGGCTGCTGCATTTTGGACCAATTGAAGTTTCCAAAATTTTTTCAAAGGCAGTCCCACATAGAACACATTGCAGTAATTTAACTTGGATGTGATCAGAGATATCTCATCTCTGAAAATGGCTTATAAATTTCAACCAATTATAATACAATGCCAGCATTAAACACATTACTATTTCAATGAAACTCATAAACCAGTTTCCAGGTGCCAAGCTCTACGATGGCAATAGAAATAGTAGTTCATAAAAGTGCCTGGTGAATAAGGGCAACTTTGCACACCAGGCAGACCGTTTCAAAAAGTGTGCTTTATCTGTGCATCAAAATTGAACAATTAGTGCAAGGTGTGTGTCATTCTAGCACTGCCTCACCACCACTCATATACTCCAGAGGGGCTTGCTTGCTCTTGAGACATTAGTGTAATCTGCTCTCCAATACTGAAACAATTATCACAACCTCCTGCTGCAGCATCTGGGTTTGTCATTGCAGATACTTCTAATGAATAAAGAAATTAACACCATGGAACTTGATTTCCTGCTACGATATCCAGCCCAGCAAGGAGTCACAAGTCCAGTGGAGTTTTTGTCCAATCAGTCATGGGGTAGCATCAAGGTACCTCTTTAACTCAAAAGTATAATATTTCTTTGTTTTAAGACAATTTCCAGTTATTTATATTCTTATCGGATTCTAGAAGCTGGTATTTCCCAACTTCAGAGCAAATGTTTCTAGTTTGCTAGACTCCAAAAAACAAATGAATGAAGACAGTTCCAATATGAAACAAGTTTCATTCGCCATTAAAATGTGTCATCTAATGCTTTTTGTTGTTCTCATGAAGTCCCATGAATATAATGTTTTGGTTGTAACTGTTTAAGAGAAATTTTCATTGTGTTACACAGTCAGGTGTGTGTGTGTGTGTGTGTGTGAAGTGCAGTATTTATTAAAATGCAAGGCTAGGTTTTGCTTTCCAGATATGGCATAAAAAGAGTGGGTCATCTTGAATTGCCATACAAGTTACAGTTATGTCCAATAATAAAAATCTTTTTGGATATAACATTGGAAGGGGGGGGCAGCTTACATCCAGGGTTGTCTTTGTTTAGCGTAAATATCGTAATACAGATCTAACAAACAAAAATTGCAAGTAACCATGCTGATTAATTTAAAAAATCCATATATAATAGCAGGTCAGTTAAAATATCACAAAGTGCTTTCAGATTCCTCACAATCTCCACTCCCGCAATGGATGTTAGGCAAAACAAAAAACAAACTTTGGTGTGAGAGAGATATATAAGAAAGGCTTTTTGTCTGCAGATAGCAACAGTTTTCAGATGGATCATGGGAATCACCATGCTGACTCAATGAAGTAAAAGCCAGCCATTAATCAAAACTGCCACTGGCACTAGTTGGAATGCAGTGGTGTTGACACAGCACAAAAGCAAAAGAAATAGTAGTCCTTACATCAATAAAGCCGGAGATTAAGTTTAGGTACAGTATCCAGAGAACCTAAGTTGGGTACTGTCAACTATTGGATTCCATTTAGGAAAGTTCTGTATTAGGTGACAGATATTCCTTCAATGGCAAGCTCTCCTAGGACAGCTAAATTTCAAATTCTTCAAAGGAGATGAACATTGAAGGTAGCCATACTGATCCATTAAAGAAAATGCCCAAGCAGTATATCAGTACCTTTATGAAGACCAGCTAAAACTTTAGAAAGTAATGAGCAATTTTTTCACCTTCATCAGAGCTTTGCCTGCCCACCCCTTGAATGAAGCACAACACAAGTTATGGGTTAAACTGGAAATTTTATTTATACAAAAGCTGATCTGCATAATCTCATTAACACATTAAAGCACAGGTTGTATTGTGCTTGCACGGCAAGCCTCGTAACAGGGCAATCCCACCCTGGCTCAGAGCCAGGTTCGGGATCCCTCCAGACCTTACTGGTCATGGCCTGCACACCAGTGCATAGAGGGGACGGAGGGCATATTCCAACTCACGACTGCAAAGCCTTAAGGCTTATTGTATGCTCCCCCATCCCCCGAAGAGGCCCCCAACTGAGTCACCCTGACTGCAAAGCCCATAGGTACTCAGTTTGAGGACCCCCCTATCGCTGATATCTCAAGGTGCTTGCCAACTCAAAATCCCCTCAATTTATGCTTTTCCCACCACAGAGGTGGTTATCCTCGGCTTAACTCCCCTCCCGCCAACCAGGAACCATCAGTCATACAGATTGCCCTGCAGATCAGCCTAAGCAATTGACCGACCCAGTAACCCCATTGTTCCCATCCCCCCAATGCAGTGCCAAGGACTTGAGCCCAGGGTGGAGACTACCAACTTAGTGCCCAGATCAAATGCATGGCCACGGCCTGGGGAGGTGCTCCTACCAACACCAATCATAGAGGCGGGATGACGACTGGCTCTGATGCACTCCACCTTCCTCCAGCCAGTCAACAGAAGCCCAGACCCCAGTGTCTAGCTGGGTGCCTAAGCTGGAGCCATCAACCATTTTACCAGTGACCTCCATCCTTGTGCTGCATCCTGCAAAGAGATACACCATCAGTCAGCACTGACAATGTTTGTCTACACCATATGCCCGGGGCCTCCCATGGCCCAGTGCCACACTTCAGAGGGACTACACCCCCATCCTGCAGCTGTCGAAGCCACTCCAATGCCAAGGAGTGGGTACTGTAGTCGCCCTTCTGCTAGCCATCCAGGCCACCTGCGTGGCCCCCTAACCAACTTGGCCTCCCTGGCCTACCTTTGTGACAAGTAGGAGTCCCCTTGACCTTCTGCTAATATCCCAAAGAAATGACGATGAAGGGCTGCCTGGTGCCAAGTGCCAGTGGTGCTTCCACCCCACCCCACCCTCCCCCCTGTGCCCTGACCTGAAATTCCTTGTGTATTCCCCCTAACCCCACCTGAAATGCCATCACCACCAGGCAACCTTTAATGGCCCTGGCCTTGAGCTCTGTCTCGGGGCCAGCTTCCTCACAGGAGGACATGGGGTGTGTGCCCCCATATGTGCTGCAAGCATGTTTAAACTTGCACACCTTCCTTGAGCATTTCTCTGCATCGTTGAAGCCCCAGCAGACTAGACAAGGTGGATCCCCTTGCTTATTGTCCACTCCTTGCCCAGCTCCTATGAGCAAATGCAACACTAGGTGCCTGCTTTCCACATACTTGCCTGAAATGGCCACTGTGGGGCCCATGCATTGAGACCAGAGCCGTTGGTGCTTCCAGTCCAAAGGCAATGATGGGTCCAAGACCGTCTGAGAGTGGAACATCTCATCATAACACAGCCAAGCACCCCCTGAGTATTCCTTATATGCCCTGTGTATGAGGTCCTGATACTTCACCAATGCTGCCCCCTGGCCAGGGTGGACCTGCATCACCACACCCATGTAAATAGTGTAAACCAGTTGTCAAAGTTCTTGTCAATGTGCATGCACCTAATTTTCTCTAACTCCCTGGGGTCATTCCTCACACTTGCCTTCACCTCAACATCCTTGAAGAGGAACGAGAACATTTCCACATACTCCCCCTTCCAAATCTTCATCTTCATGGCCAACAGCAGGTAGTCCCGGGTGGGGAAGAGACCTCTCCATGTTAGAGATATGGCGGGTCCACTGCTGGGTTGTGTGGCCCCTTGCCCCTCACCCCACCAAGGCGCCTGAGGCTGGATTGAGGAGGGAGGGTGGCCGCCACCCGACCTGGCCAGTGAGCCATTCCTCAATTTGCCAGCACTTCTGTGCTGAGCCCCAATTGGCTCCCCCCACCCTCCTGCTTCCTCCAAGAAGTGGGAGGGCTTCAACGCTCCACAGACAGGCAATGACCCAAATACAAGCAGTGACCCAAATACAAAAGCTGAGCGAGTTAGAAAAAAGGATGTCACTAGGACTGACCGAAAAGCTTAACAGTGTCATCCCTAAGCGTCTTAAAATGGAGGTGAGGACGTTATGCACACTTAACAGTGCCATCCTAAGCAGAGTTGCACCCTCCTAAGTCCATTGAAGTCAGTGGGTTTAAAACGATGTGTCTGTGCTTAGAACGGCACTGTGAATTAGGTTCAGTTAGGCTGTGCTAAGTGCAAACAGACCCCAACCAATGAAACACAGCTCAATTTGCATCAAAGGGTATTAGAATCAAGAACCATGATAGCGCTTCCTTTGAAAATATGAAATCCAGAAGTGAATCATGTTAATCCAGCACTAATCAGACATAACATGAGCCTTATACTCCTGCCTCCTTCACCTGCTTTCTGCTCCCTTGCTTCCTTTCTCTATTATCTTTGTTGCAGAAACCAACAGCACTAGCATTTCTGTTAATATTCAAGATCTTAGTTATTGAGGAAAACATGACTGTAGTAATCTAATTTACAAACTAGCAGTGCAGAATATCTAGAATTGATCTGATAATTTGAGAAATTTGTATTAAAAATAGAAATTAGGCAGAAGGGGGAAACTCCCTCTAGAAAACTATCAACATCAAAAAATACTCTTGAAAATTATTGAGCCTCTTTGAAAAAAAGATTTAAGCTCTTTTGGAAACTTCTATTATGAGGGAACCTTTTAAAAAAAGCACCTATAAAAGGTAGATCGAAGAAATTTGGTCTTTGAATGATATTGTGAATGTTAAAATACAATACTGAGATTATCCTAACAATATTTAGGAACATTTCAGATATTATCTTTCTAGTGGTATGTTTCAGAGAGATGGGGTTAGATCAACAAATAACCTTTAAAGTTATAACAATAAAGTTAAACTGTACCCACAAAGCTCTATAGAAATGCGCACTTTAACAGCAGTATCAGCTAGCACTTTTGCAGTAGCCACCACAAAAGGATAACACAGAACCTAATGAAGCAGAAAAATGATCCATGAAGGCCAAATTTGTTTCCTCCCTAGAAAAAGAGCCACTGATTACATCTTTACAATATAGACTTCCATCAATATGTAAAAAAGAAAAAAAAAGAAAAAAATGTTTCCCTGCTTCGTCAGCTTCAGAAAAGTGTTTGACTTGGTCTGACAATTTGGGGTTGAACCTTATGTTACAAAATAGAATTGGTGGGGGAAAAATAGTCTCATCAAATCGATGCTCCAATCCATCAAATATAAGATAGAAAAAAATGTTTCACTGCTTCATCAGCTTCAGAAAAGTGTTTTACTCGGTCTGACAATTTGGGGTTGAACCTTCTGTTACAAAATAGAATTGGTGGGGGGAAAATAGTCTCATCAATTCGATGCTCCAATCCATCAAATATAAGATATGAAATGGAAACAAAGGCAATCAAACAAGAAGTATAAAATAGGGAACCACCCTCAGAATGACTCTCTTCAATCCATACATCCATTCATCATCACCCAGTAATGAAACAAATGAACAAACAAAATAGTGCTCCAGGCAAGTTTGTTAGCTGTTGAAATTAAAGGGCAAACAGCTAAATCAGCCTTATCACTGAGAGCTCTGGAGCTTTCAGTCACCAATCCTTCTCTGAATAAATAATAAGTGTAGTGATGGGACTCTAAGGATACCTATTAATAGTCTCCACATTCCAATTTATCCTGCAATGTATGGAAAAGGTTTGCATGGTTATTTGCATAACCACACTTATTTG